TGATGGGTGGCTGGCACTTCCTCAGGTAAAATACATGACTTTTGTTCCAAAACCAGTTAGGGTGGTCAGGTACACGACGTCGCTATTATTTAGTGTTGTGCATGCCACGTAAGACTTGCCCTCGTAAAAAAGGTGCTCATCGTCACTGTCGCCAATTTCATCTTCGCTCAGGTCCGAGTCACTAAGGTCCGAGTCGTCACTGCGTTCAAGTGGGATTTCGTCACCGAACGCATCGCTGTCAACGTCTACCGAGTAACAGTAAGTTTCTTTATCAATGTACGTCAGAAAAGACAATGCATTATAGGGGAGATAGGGGCGGAGAGGTTTCTGGGGGCTTAAGGCTGTAACAGGAATCAGGAGTTCGGAAGAATTTTGAGCATTGTGCGAGTCTTCTTTGTTCAAGATGTGGTCGGTCGGACTGCTTTTCGTGGCACTCAAGGACGTGGACAGTTTTTTCGCAGCCGGTTTGAGAGCCTCATTTGGTGGCGTCTTCTTACACACTTCAGGTTGAGGCTTGAAGTGTTCAGTTGATGGCAACTCAACAACTCTCCAGTTGCCTGTGGAGGAGTCTCGGCGCAACAGCTTGCGGAGTGGCTTAAGCACCGGACCCAGAGGAACGCACGAATTGTTTGCTCCGTGAAGAGAAGCAAATGCACAACTTGTAGGTGACCTATAGGACGACGAAGCTCGCAAAGAATCAGAAGGGATAGTAGAACCGCATGATATTGAACAAGGCGAGCTGGATGAGCTGGACGAAGGCAAGGAACTGTGCAGGCTGGACGAAGTGATGACGAGACGGCCATTTGAGTATAGCCGATCATTGCCCGAGTTGGATTCTTTGCAGGAAACTGAAGCATTCCCTGACTTTCTGACTTTAATACATTATTAAAAAGTTTTGTGTTTTCAATTAAAATCTGGCTAGGAGAAGAACGGTTAAATTTATTTGAATAATAGCGATCTTCTTGCAAGCTGTTCCAGAAATGTTTCGACTTTCCTTCTTCCTTGTCGTTGTCTTCGCACATATATTCGAGGAAGACGTTCTTCGATTTCATTTTTTTCTTGTCAGCACAATGGACCTCATTAAATTCGTCGTCACTACGATACTTGGATGGCTGATTTACATCAAGCTTGTAATAGGACTTTCTGGGGCGTTTCGACATAACTTTGTCCTCAACACAGTCCGAACAAAGAAGCTCTTTGACGAAGTCTGTTAATTTCCTCTTCTGATTGAAGCGAGATTGGATTCTTTGTCCCAAATGAGATAAGGAGAAACGTACGAGTTCAACATTAGGATCGGGCTTGCAAGCGCCCAGAGCATCCGAAGCAGCAACGGGGGCACCGGCAGCTTCAGTGACGGTGGTTGTGGCCTCGACGGCGCTCGTCTGGTGTCGGTTGAGCTTCAGGGGCTCACCGAAAAGTGCAGTAGAAGCGTCCGTCATTTTCTGGACCTGGTGAAATGAAGAAATTTATAAATTAACCAGGAATGTGAGCATGTATATAATAATTACTATGTAATAGCTCATACATCATACAATAATAAAGGAGGGGACACTGGAGCTTGTAAGAATAAAGGAATGTTGGCAACTCGCCGGTTAGCACAGCGCTAATTGGATCGATAATTCCTGACATTTTACAACATCAACACCCTAAATCCCGTTAAGAATAACGCTAGCGTATGCTAAATAAAGACCAGTTCAAACAAGCATTTTACATGAAACATAAAAATCCTATTCGACTCTCGTTTCATATATGAACAAAGAAAAACTACTTTTGACGCATCTTTGAAATTAAATTTATTAATACATACTTAAAAATCAGCTAAAATTATTGATCCAACCCTACTCAATTTAGTTTTGCAATGCTTCACTGCCTATTCTACAACTAAGGACTAATTTTCGAATATATTCAAAATGTAGTATAGCGGTGCCAGCATTCATTAGGCCGTCAGACATAATGCTGATTCTCAACATCGCATAATATTCTTAGCTTGTTGAGGTGTCGAACACACAACTCGCTGCTACAATCCTGGGCCCATACTTTCAAAAAAAGTTAAGAGATCGTAAGTTCATCAGCCATTCATGGACGGCCTTTCAAGCAAAATCCACCAATCATAGACCAGAAAATAGAGCGTAAATACTTACGTTGACTTAGCGAGTTTTGAAAGTATGGCCCCTAGTACTCCGAACTGTAACCACTGGGCCAAGTTGCCACAGTTGAACTGTAACCACAATGCCACAACTGTCATAGTGGATACGCGCTCCAACAGTCTACAAGTTATATAGCCACGGTGCATGGCTTCACACAAACGTACACGGAATTTATAAACTTGGATGAGAAATTTCCCGTAGTGCATGAACTAATTAAATTAAGACAATTGTTTTCAAACAAAGCATGTCTAAGTATTTCATGAGAAAAAGAGTTAGCTGGTTGCAAAAATGGTTTTCATAAATTAAAAAAAAGTTTTCTTAGATAACAATTGTCTTAATTAGTGAAACATGTGAGAATGCAGATGAAAATTAATTCCCCAAGAAGCAGCAGGTTAGGGGGCAGAACTGAAGCAAGATGCAATGATGATCCGTTCACTGGATTATGGAAAGACAATTTCTATGGAGAGAGGAAGGGTCTAGAGAAATTACAATCATAATAACGAAAAATAGGATAAAAGCAGCTCCCTTACAGCGAGAAACAAACCAACGAGAACCGCATGACCGATTATACTGTAAAATGCATCATAGCGTCAGTCTCGTGCGATTCAATGATAACCCAACACAGGCGATGATTTTGTTCCATTAAAGTATTGAATGTTTGCAATTTTTACAACACACATGCATGAGAGAACACGTGAAATGAATACTTAGTTTAGCTCGACAACCAAGCAACACCCAAGAGCCTATCAACAGAAGAAGGTTAAGGCGTCATCGAGGCTCTCGTGTTCCCGTGTACTTTGATGGCAGAACTCCTCGACAGGGATCTGCATACTAAGTTATCATTTAAATATTGACTGCTGAGAATTACTATTCATTTATGGAAACAAGACTTAATCATGAACATTTTGAGCGGGCAAATGAAACGTCGTGTCGGTCAACAAATTACAAGAAGCAAAAGCAGGATATGTTGGGAAAGCCTAGTCATTCAATTGTCACAATCGCTTCTTGAGCTTAGAAAGGTATAATCTGAAGCTGTTGGCTCTACCACTTCACTGACACGCAATATTAGTCACTCATAACAGTGATGTATGAGAGCCGTAGGCGACCAGGGATTAAAGTGTTAGCCGGACATGCATTCCTGTATGCGAAACTTGCAAGAAGATTATCAGCGACACCTTCAAGATAAGCGTTATCAGTGCAGGTATCGAGCAAGTATTGGATCATTGTAAAACCTGACACATGTTAATGAAGAAGAATAATGGCAGTAGGAGCAATCACTTCTATAAAGGACGAAAGATTGAAAGGAAACATGTAGGATTGTCCTCCTCAGAGGAGTATCGTACTTCACATAAAAATAGAGAATGCAATGAAATGTGAGGACGTAAACAAGCACTCGAGTGAACCAAGATAGATTTATGTTATACACATTCTCAGAAAAGGAAGTCATAAGAGACATCAACTCGTGGATGTGTTGCACCGTTCAAGCGCTAGCGGACATATGGCGCTGTTCCCAAGTTTCCCAACGCATACAGGATTAACGGAGACAATCAGTCGCTACTTGAGGACGTGGATGTTGCGGGTAGAATCAAGCGTCTAATGCCAAGCCAGTGCAATGTACATAGGCTCCTCATTCAGTTGACGAAAGAAAATAAATATATAGCTTCTATCGTTGCTCTCCAGCAGTACAATTATCGTCAGTTTGTATCGTTGTTTAATTTAATTAGATCTTCACGGTTGTCCCGAATAGTATGATACCAATAGCTCGGATTTCTCGGTGAGAGTGCAAGACTACGATCCGTAAGATGCCGATAACCTGGTGTTGTGCTTGATGCACCTTGCCTCAGATGGAAGCATCAGATTGAAATGCTGAAAACATCTTGCTTGCCGGCACTTAATCTACTGAAATCCATATCCCACAGGCACAGGGGTGCTGATTGTTATAAACTTCCAAAGCTCTAAAATGTTTACTTTGTAGCTAACTTGATGACGTCTCTTCCTTCTACGCATCTGCTGCCCAATCGCACCGATCCAGCGGAACGTACTCCAAAACAGTAACATCAGAATCGCTACAGGCTGTAGTAAAGTAACTACAGTCATTAGCTCAGCAATTGAAGCGAATATGCCTTCCCATAAAATCCATAGAGACCAATTATTGTGCAAATACTATTTCAGACTACGGCAGCTCCCCGAGTGCCCAGCCACCAATGATCTATTCCTTGCCAGGCACTTCTGTCCAGAAAATGTGCACTGTTCCTTTGTTCCTCATACCTGAGCATTATTCAGCAGCATTGGCTCTCTTGTCCACATTTTATTGCTTCCCCTTTGATTTCACCTATGCCTCCATGATTCAATGTTGACAACAATATTTTTAACAACTTCACTTATATCCCAAAGTCATCTCGCTCACCTTCTGATATCACACAAATGTTTCATAACTTTTCTCAGAATATGTATGCAAGCTGTCTTGCTGCCTACACGGATGGGTCGCGAGTGGAAGAACCCACATGCTCCACATCTTGCTGCTGTGGTTATTCCACGCAGGAGAGTTTCTTTCAATTGGAAGCGCCGCCCAGAGATATAAGTGTTGGAATCGGAACTATTTGTTATACATGAGGCTCTCACTTGGGCCCAAAATAACCTTCTTTTGAATGAATTTTTTTAATATAAACTAATTAACAAAGCTCTGTTTCTGATCCAGTCCATCCCCAGCCACTGCGGAATACCTGGAAACGAAGCGGCAGATCTTGCTGTCTGATGAGCCCACACCCTCCTCTAACGTACTGTAACCACCCCGAGCTGAGAAGAGCTGGTGAAGTCGATAGAGGATGCTATTACTGTTAGTTGGTGCGCATCATGGCACCAGGAAATGGGAAGATCAGTAAGGAGTCTCTTCCTTGCTCAGGTCACGGACAGTCTAGGCACATGACCGTGGGCCTCTTACCCAAGTTAGGCAATTGAGACAACCATAGCTCATCTACGTGCGGGTCAGGCTGGTATCTGGTCACACCTGACTCGTTTTGGCCAAGCTCCCAACCTACTCTGCCCCTGTGGCTCAGTAGAAACTATTCATCACCCTATTTTTGAATAGTACTAGTCATACTGGTGCCCTTGGTTATACGATACCTGAGCCGGCACACATTTCGGTGCAACGGTGCCTTTCAGTTGGCCGATGAATGACTAGAACTTATTGGCCTTGGCCGATCACTGGCCACGTATTATTCCTCGCCCCTCATTGAGCTCCCCTTTACCGTACCGCCTGGCGTGGACTAGCAGGTGAGAAATTTACGACGTCTTTTTCCCCTCATCCCTTCCACAACGCCTTAATTTTAGCAGTTACTATACTCCATATGAGAGTATGCTCGTATATAACTAGTTTTTGGTGATAGATATCTACAAAATGGAGGTTGATTCAGATATGTATTTAATACCGTTCAATAGAGAATACAGAGCTGCGCGAGAATAACCAGTCAGCCGGCATTCCTTCTCCAATAACTCCTGAAATTTTTTTGAATGGGCATTAATTAATGCCACTGATTTAGTCCCAGTCAAACGTGAGTTCTATCGGCCCGCAGTGCATGAATTGTGCAACTATTCATCCACATCTTAGAATAATCGAGCTAAAATCTTGGTTTACGGGTAATGTGATATAGATAAATTCTTCAGTTAAATTCAGTGCTTCAGCAACGCATCATTTTTGTACACTGGGCCCGTCCCCAACTAATTCACCGTGAATTATTTCTCAATGTTATTTTATTTGTTATTTTCCAATTGGCACAAGTAAAGGGCATATTTTAGAGGAAAAATAATGGAAAAATGAAGGCAAAGGCAAGGCAGATTTCGTTTATTGGAATTCAGGTACATCATCAAGTGCCGCGGCGTGACACGGTTCCAGCACTCTCCTTACAGACAAGAAATTCGTACAGGCAACGCAAAACAATCAGAACGGGAATGAAGATGAAAATATGTACAATAGTTATGCGTTTTGGGTATGAAAAACAAATAGCAAAATTATCTCTAATATAAAAGCTAATTTTGATTCAAAAGTAGGCACTAGACAATTAGGTAAATATTTCCATAATATGTAAGCCCCTCATATTGAAATAAGACCATATTGTTTAAATATAGCCAGGGCTTTCTTCAGTACAGGTCGAGGCACCCGTGTCCAGCTCACTACAGCACCCTGATGACTGGATACTGAATAATAAAAGTCACAATCAGTCACTCCGCCGGCCAAGAGGCAGTCATTGACGCAGCTTAGCGCCTCTGTGCCTAATGTGCCCGACTGGCGCGCTCGCAGCGCCCCTACAAACACGTCGAATGCCAGCCTTTTCATGGGTGGCTGGCATTTGCGTAGGTAAAATACGCGACCTCTGTTCCAGTGCCAGTCAGGGTGGTCAGGGTAAAGTTTGTCGCCGTTCGGCATTGTGGTGCATGCCACGTAGGCCTTACCCTCTTCAAAAAGCCGTTCTTCCTCACTGTCCCAGTTATCGTCATCGCTGAGGTCCGTGTCCTGCATCTCGTCAATATTGGATGCGATCCTTGCATCGCTGGGAGGGCAAACTGAACGACATGAAACAGAACTCGACGAGTTGGACGAGCTAGAGGAGCTGGACGTGCTAGAGGAGCTGGACGTGCTAGAGGAGCTAGAGGAGCTGGACGAGCTAGAGGAGCGAGACGAGGAAGACGAGCGCGACGAAGAGGAAGACGAGCGAGACGAAGATGATGACGAGCGAGACGAAGAGGAAGACGAGCGAGACGAAGAGGAAGACGAGCGAGACGAAGAGGAAGACGAGCGAGACGAGGAAGACGAGCGAGACGACGAGGAAGACGAGCGAGACGAAGAGGAAGACGAGCGAGACGAAGAGGAAGACGAGCGAGACGAAGAGGANAAGCGTGAACGAGTTTCCGTTTATAGCGAACTTAGTCGATAACATAACAGCAAACTACCCGCAACAGTCAAAAGAATAAAAAGCACGCTCGCCTGGGTCGCTAGGTCAGCATCCTCACTAGCGCTGGCAAGTGAAGCTAGTTGAGGTTCTGCAGGCCAGACTGGGAACTTGTAAGTTCTTCAGCATCGCCGTCACGATGGATGATATCACACATATGTGGAGCTCGTCTCTATGTTACGAGACTTGCATAAAACATTAAGTGATGTGAAGCAGACAGCGCTGACGCTGGCTGTCCTGCAGTATTAGGAGAGACAGCCAAGGCTTCCCTTGAAAGATAATGACGGGCAACAACAAATATTCTTGTGTCAATGAGCTACAACACTTCGTTCATTCATGGTGCTAGTTTATTGGTACCAGTCGTATTATTGGCGCCGGCAACAGCTACCTTTCTTCATTGCTATCATCGCTTAATGAACTGATGAGTCGGAACTGATATCACTGATGCAATACCTTTACGATGTTAGCAGTGATTTTCAAAGGCTGTGATCGCTTCTAAGAAAGGAGATGAAGAAGAGTTCAATTATTCTGAAGGGCGCACCGCCAGCAAGTAAGGGAGACGGTGTGGTGGCGGTGCCTCTGGGCTGGGGCATTTGCTCCCATCAGTTTGTTGCTGAAGGCCTAATGTCCTGAGCTCAGAGGTGCGGCTAATGCCGCTATAGTGCAGCACATGCCTCCTATTAATACCTAGTTAGCAGCTACGGCTTCTTGCGCTACCATACAAAGTTAACTGGCCTTGACACCAACCTTTTCGACCGTTGTGCTCAAACAGGACACGCGCTTGGCCGTCTTGCGCTCGGATGTCTTGTTATGAGGGGCGGCGAGTGGGGCCGGGTTCAGCAGTGGCAGGCGCTTCTCGCTCGTTGCTACGTCCTGTTAATAGGGAAAAATATTAGCTTATATTTGTGGCGACTATGAGGGCAGCAAATTATCATACACACAAATAGAAACCATTAAAGATTCATGAAAATCTGCATAGTAATAGAAACCATCTGAGATCTGAAATGCTTAATTCATGAGAAGATGAGATCATCATATCTTCTTGAATTCAGATCAACTGAACAGGTTGTACAACCCTGCAATATCATGGCTGGGTTTTACACATTTAAATACGCCTCATAGTCAGTTTCATAGCAGTTATTTGTTATGGACGAGATGTTCAAGCATCACACACAAGTCAGAAAACAAGAAATTTAAGGCCACATTATCAATAAAGATTTAGATATCTGCTTCCAAAAAAGTCCTATTTTTCAATTTTCCAAATTTAAATTCAGTGAAATCCAAGCATGGCTAAATATTTAATTTAAATAAAGCAGCTGCATTTGAACAAACCTGAATTGTTCATTTCATAAAATTTACTTATTAAATCCTGTGGACCAGATTTGACCAAATCCAAACTGAACCTAAATCCTGGGCACTTTGAGCTACTGACCAGGTCAGAAACATTGCTTATCACTTGAAAGGTAGAAGTAGAAAGAAGGAAAGACCTGCAGTCACCAACAACAAATTGCACAACACTTCACTCTATGAGCATACAGGTGTTCAACAAGCAGGGTTGGCAATGATTAAATCAAAATGATTAAATCATGTGATTAAATCACTTGATTTTTTATAAAAAAATCATGATTTTTTCGATTTTTTTGATTTATTTGATTTTTTTTATTTTTTCATATAGGTATTTAAATATATTGGGTGGCAGTCTTCAATTTATATTGAGGTATTGTTATTCATGGTTTAGTATAAATGTCCTATGAATGTCAAATTGGTATATAAACTTGTTGCCTTTAGTGTGTATTAGGTTCCAATAAATTGAATGTTTTTGGTACAGAGGCATCAAGTGTGCATTACATTGTACGTAGCTAGCAGCTTAGCTAATGCTTATAAGGCAATAAGTTTTCTTCAACTATTTGACTATGGTATTTGTTATATATTGATTACAATTTACAATTTAAATGTGTTAGCTAGCTTATACAGGGTGGGGCAGAACTGATAGAACAGTTTTGAGGCAAAATAATGGAGTAAATTGAGTAATGGAGAAAGTTTTTTTTCTCAAGATTACCATAACATACCATTTAAATGACTTATGTTTTGAAAAAAATATCAGGAAGATGGGGTTTGTTAGCTGCATCACTTTGTTGGAGNAACATGAAAATGTGCTTAGAATTTTACAAAATATCATAATGTGTCATTTGCTGCAATATATACCCAACACTTTAGTCAGAGACAAGAATAAAGAACCAAGCTTCACGGCAATCTCAAAGGTCATTGAGTAAAGAAGTTCAAATAAAACTAAGGGGTAGCAGGGAAAATCACATATGGGGAAGCAGAGAACATTTCTATTTACAATAAAATTGTCAAATAATTATTAGACAACTCAGAACGCTAATTAGAAAAGCAAATTTTATCAATTATATATTTACTTAAGTTTTTCATACCATTGCACTTCCCCAAATGTTGCCAAGACACAACACTCTTGTTAAATGTCACACCAGTCATCTTAATAATGCCTGGCATGTCCCAGATTTTGAGTCCATTCTGTTACAGAGTGACCCTATGGGCTCCAGTCATGTAAAAACTTCAACTCATATTAAGGATAAAGTGCTAAGTAGAGAAAAAATGACTTGTGTTACAATGAGATGTTATGTTGTGAACTTACCATTGTCACTCTTGGGATGAGCTGCCACGCAGAGTTCATGCAAAGACAATTCTAGAGTCTTAGAACAGCAAGCAAGAAGACCTTCTGAACAACCTATGTTTATATGAGTGCTGCTCTAGCAATTATTAGATTTGAATCACAAAAATTGTACTTCTGTTTTTTAAACCTGAAATAAAAATTAAAGTTGGGTGAGCACAAATGAATATCACTTCCAAAAAGATATAGACCTCTTTTGGTCATTCAATGAATAGGAATTATATAATCCTAATGCTTAATTCATGAGAGCATCATATCAATTAAAAACCTAGTATCACTTAACATGGCAGTAAATTAACCTCATAAATTTAATAAACAATCAATAAAAATTACAAGTGAACTTCTATTTTAACAAACATGCTCAGCTGTTCAATATGTGCAGATGCACTCAATTTTTAATTTCCTACAAGATGACCTCGTTTTAAATGAGAAAAATTCATGTTAATAATTGTTCTCATCACATAAGAACATTCTTGTGCTCAAAGTTTAATTTAACACAGCTGCATTACAGTGATTGAGAATGCAGGAGACATCTTCACCACTGGTACTGACCAAACACTTACAAGAATCCATGCTGTTAATGCCAATTTTTTTGTGCATAACTGATGAGGAATTCTCAGGTATTCAGAAGTGTACATATAGCAAAGTATGACAATGATTTCAATGTGTCAGTGCCAAAAATAATTATTAGTGAATTGAACAGCCAAGGACATTGTAAAGTGCAGCAACTGATAGGAAATGGTTGGGTGTGTATTGGGGACTGAGGGGAGGGTATGGAATGAAAGCATGTAAAGCAAAGAAATTGTGAGCTCCAAAATGGATAGAAGAGAATGAGAGCTTTTAATTTAGTTAAAATTAAATACCAGGTGCAGAGATGTAGATGTTAAACATAAGGATGATCAAATGGCGATAAGTTATGCTTCAATAGGCTGAGTAACATCTAATGAGTAATGAGAAGTGCAATGGGTTTGAGAAAAAATGCTTGGGATAGCAAGAATGCAAGTGAGATAGAATAATTCATGAGAGGATATAAAGTAAATGATTTCCATGACCATACAATTGATGACAAAAGTTATAGTTTATGATTGAGATTAGTTACTTCAAAAGAAGGGAAATAAGGAAGAGGGTATGGAAACTACCAATGCCACAAGACTTTAACACGTTGACTACGTATTGGTACATATGCGTACCACGAAATGTATTTCTCCTGGTACATAATTCAGGGTTGCCAGATGGCCTAAAAAACGGCCAATTAAGTCCGTGAACAAAAAGGCCTATAACTCAATATATACTAGTATATCTGTAGGTTCCGGTGTAAAAATTCAATTTTTTTAGTTAATTAGGAAGCGTCCCTTACAACCCCTATCATAAATTTTAGCCGACCACCTAAATTGAAAAAACTAAATCGTGGAATTTGTCCGGTAAAAAAAGAAAGTCTGGCAACCCTGTTCCATAATAGTACTAGAAAAATGAAACAAAAGTACAAGATGAACCAATCGTAGTCAACGTGTTAACACCCATCCATAATCAGAGCAACAACTAGTAACCATAATAGCAATGCATAGTATATAAGAAATAATGCCGGTAGATTAAAAAACCACTAAATTAGGCAGAAAATAAATATTTATCAGTGCAACAAAACCACAATGCCACTGAATGTCTGGTCCTTATCAACTATTTTTTATGATATACATTAAAAATGACAATTTCTGATCTATGATTTTTTAGAACCACCAATGAAACAAACATTTTGAGCAACTTTTTCTTTACAACTCAGCTGATTGCTAATATTATGAGGAATGTAAATGACAACTGAACTGGACTTATGATATTAAATATATCTACCTTGATTCCTACAATTCCAACCTGGTTCCTTGCTTAAGGGTTTATTGATATAAATACATTGAAATTAAAATGAAAATATGGCCAAAATAACCATGGATAAGTTCAAGTCACCTGTATCCCAATTAATAACATTTCACTTGGGGCTGAGGTCCATGAGTTAATATAAAAATACAAAATCAAAATACAAAAAGATTGTAGGACATATTCCAGAATGGACTCAATATGATTCCAGTAAGTGGGAATTTTCCAATATTCAGGTACAGATGCTATGTGCTTCACAAGAAGAATAAATCTACCTTTCAGGCCGCAACTAGAGCATTCCCACCATTTTCAGAACAACATGATCCTGCTAGATGAATTACTTCCTATCTAGTTGCAATGAGTGTATGATTGGGCCACATAAGTCCCAATGGATTGAAAATTTGGCACTACCATGCCACAGGATTTC